CACGGTTTCTGCAATAATTTCATGAAAAGAATAAATGAATTTTCCTCTTTTATTGAAATAAATTCTTGGTAATTAATGGTAACTTTCTGGGTATTTTTTAATTTACATATTCATTATAAATTTAAAACATACTTTTTATTGTTGAATGTACAGGTCTTTTAAAAATGAAATAACCCACTTTGATCATATTTTCTTTGAATTCTAATATCATTTATGTCTTGCAAACAACATGTTCATTTTACAAGATTATGTTACTACTTTTGTTTTCTTCCTTTTCTCTGTGCTGCCTTCCCTCTTCCCCACCGACTGCCCACAACTGTAAAACAATAATAATGGTAATAAACAAGCAAACAAAAGAACGAAATAGTCAAATGGCCTTATATAAACTTCTTTGGAACAATTTGCAAAGCTTTTTTTCCTGCTATTTTAATTTGGAAGTGAGCCTTTTTCCCTCTTAATTTAATTCCATAAACTCTCAGCTCTCAGTTGCACTAAAGGTTTGTCTTAATGTGTTTTTAAATATCCATTGTCAGGATGCCCTGTGGCAATCTGATTGTGATTCTTAATGGCATCCAGCTGGACAGGAATGGCTGCACCAAGATGTACACCAAAAATCAAAGAATATTTTTTTAGCTTTGAAGTAAAAACTAATTTCATGAGTGACTCTCATCTGCATTCCATTTTCTTCTGTGCGGGTTGTTGAAGGCTGTCTCTGGAAAAGCCATAGCCAAAGTAGATGTGCTGACTTGGAACTTGTGGACCTCAAAGAGATATGTATCATGGGAAAAATGTCAGAGGGAAAAGAAAAAGGTCTTAAGTTCTCATTACATTGTAATTCCTATAAGAATTAAACACCCCTGCCTCTGGTTTATTCCTGATAAATTGACATGAGCAAGTAAAAATAGTATTTTGAGACACCTCCTACCTTCTTTTCTCTGCTTCTATGTTTTTCTGCTATTAGTGACACTCTTGCTTCTATGTAAAATAGTTGTTTCACCCTGGTATTAGCAGGTTGCTAGCATTACAGTTCTAAACAATGGCTTCTTTATGATTTAGGCATGGAAAGATTTGGAAGAGGCCATTTGGTTATATCAAGCTTTCAAACACCCTAGTGTAGTGAAAAGACAAAAGAAGAGTACTTCATACTCCCTTTGAGAATACACAGTTAAAAAAACCAGCATTCCTATCTACAGAAACACAGTTATGCCACCCACACTTTTGTGTTGTGGAGAGATGAACAGTTTATTGGTTCATTAACTCAAATTAGTATTTTATCCCAGGATTTTCCAGATTTCTAAATTGAAATCATTTAAATGTGGAGTATGAACATGTCCCTATATTCAGAACAGAAGGAAAAGAATTAATGAGCACACTAAATACTTTGTGAGGAGGTTTCCACATCCATACTGGACCATAAATTTGATGACTGTTTATAAAACATGATTAAGAATATGAGTGTCAGAGAGGCTGCTGTAACATGAGGTTAATCCTCATTTTCACTTTTAATGGGGTTTGATAATTGATTATTGTTGTTTTGCTTTTCTAATGGTACAGATGAGACCTTGATCAGCTCAGATGAACAAATCATGATAAATAGCATTGCTGTGTGGGCAGTAAAACTGTTGCTTATACTGGTTTTTATCAAATGCACAGCTGCAAGCAACAGCCCCATCCTATCCTGTGTGATAAAATAGTTGTTAAAAGCAAAGAGATGATAATTATCAGGAACGTCTCCAGCTACACAAATAAAATGTTGTATTCAGATTTAACATGGAACAATAGTGATATCTCTGGGAAAATTATGCTTGACCATATTGTAAACTTATACCCTGTTCTTTTTTATTGCAATAAAACTTGTGGACAGTAAGTTAACTTGGAAGTGCTGTATAGAAATGAATTGGTATTTTTTTTACTAGGTAATACTTTAAAATGCAGATGAAAGGGCAAGTTGTCATTGTTTCTTTTGCAGGTCTCTGTGCCTGTTACTCCAGGCCTAGTTTTTCATGTGCTGAAAATTCTTTGGGCTGTGATTTTAAAAACACTTGCAGAATTAAGCACCTGTTCTATGAAATAGAAAAAAAAGCACCAATCGCCATCTTACTGTTTTAAACTCCCACCCAATGAGTGCAGAAAGAAAGATTTTGAAGACTTTTCCTTTTTAGATTTTTACTAGTCATTAGAACATCAAATGCATTTTTTTCTCATCTTGTTTTTCATCCTTTTCACTGCTTTTCCCAGATTTCATTTTGATTTTCATTCAAATTTAAGTGTCATTTTTCCTTTCCATGCATCCAACAGTGCTTTGATCAGTAGTTAGTGTCATCTTAAAACATCTCCATTTATTTTTTCTGCCACTTTTTTGACACAGAAAGTAAATTTCCTTTCACCTTCTCCATTCTGGTGTTTTTTCCCCTTTTTGTTCACAAGCTACACTGAATAAACTGCTTTGACTTTCAAATGTCACACTCTCATATTCTCTTCTGCTTATTCATTTGCTTGGGACAGCTTTGAGATCAGTACATTCTGCTAAGGACCAAAGGCAAATTTGAACATATGGTAACACTCCTAAACTATGCAGATAATTCACTAACCTACTGTTTCTACCAACAATCACTTGTTTTTCTCATTTATTTCTATTATATACACTTGTTAAGAAGCATCAGTTTCCAAATGTGTCAGAATGGGAAGCAATTTACATTATTTTCTCAGGAGTAAAAACGTGCAGTTCATGGTTCTGTATTGAAATCTAGAGTAAATTTTTCTCTCTGTTTTTCTAATATTTTAGCATGAGCTTAAAAACCTAAAGCCTAAGAATAGAGAAGGCTATTGAGCAATTATCATGAATTGTGGGTTTTATTCAGTGAGTCATAAAAACCTAAACAAGGATATACAGCTTGAACATTTAATATTTCCCCATAGAAATGACTCAATACTGTGTTGAGGGTTTATTTTAAATAATCATCAGTTTTTTCTTTCTCTCTTCTTGGAAAACCTGAATCTCTCAAAATCAGAAAAGTTTATTGTCTGCTAAATTAAAAAAAAAAAAGAAAAAAAGAAAAAGCACCTTTGTTTCAGAGCAAATTTTTTATAGTAAGACAATTCTGACTTTATATATGACTGCAAATATTTTCCATAAAACAAAAATGTGTTTTGGTAATAGACCTCTGATCAAACACAGACTGTGATATCGGAGAAAAAAAGACTTTGATCTTTGCAGTAAAGAATAACAATGCAAAACTCATATTCAATAGAAAACTTCCTTGATTTGGAGAGTGAATAAATTGAATCTATGATAAACGGCTCACTAAGTAAAGGGAAGAAATGACTTCTCAGAAAATATGTTTAGAATTTAAAATAATGACCCAGGTAAAAGCTCACTGTATTTTCCATTGCTGGAGTATTAAAAAAACTACCATTACATTAAGTGACAGCCATTTCTCTTTTAGGTAGCACACATATTAGATGGTGAGTAAATTAATGTTTATTACTTTACTTGCTACATTATATATGATTTTGTGCTTGTCATGGACACTGCCAGTAAAGAAAGGGTACAAAACACAACAGTCCTGTATATAAATAGCCTACTGCTCCAGCTGATAATGGCAAATAACATATTGATAAACACACAGGTTCTGAACATATTTATTGAAATGGATACCTTATAATTAAATTTAATGGGCATGCCATTTTCAGTGTTTAGATAGTGACATTGCACAGAGTAAGATAAAGTACGTAAGAAATGTACACTTTCTATAAATTATGTTCCCAAGACTGCATTTTGGAAGGGGCATAGTAGAAAATAAAGATGAAGAGATTTTAGTCATGATGAATTATTCATGTTGTAGCAACAGGACAATATTTATTCTCAGTAATGCACTTGTACCTCTGGAGAGCTGAAATGCATCAAAGCTTGTTTATTGTTGATTTATGATCATAAAAAAAAGAAATATTCTGTGGTTGTAATTTTGGAAATGATCAAAATTTTGTCTTGATGAAGGCATTTTTTTTTTCAAAAGAATTCCACTGAAAAAATCAGACATGACAAAACAAAATATTAAACGTGACCTACTTCTGATTGGAGCTATTAGAATTAAGATTTTCCATTCTTAATACAAATATATAATGTGTTCTACTTCTCTGAGTAAGAAAAAACATACATTTGTGTTTGGTTTATTTGTGTTTGTTTTTTTTTTTTCCATTCCATGTACACTAAAAATAAATACTGTTTTACTATTGGAACTTCCATAAAGTCTGACAATTTTATGAGATCAAACCTGTTAAAGTCGGCAAAGATGAACTCGCTAATGCTAATGGAATAAGAGCTGTTGGATTAAGAGCTTTGATTATGAGAAAGAAATAACTATGTGGGTTTTGTGTCGCTTTAGTGATTTTCAGGGTCTGTGGCTGCCTTCCTTGGCTGGTGACAGGGCACTTTTCCTGGAGAATGGCCTTCAGAGGAACTCCCTGCTGTTTGCACTGACCAAAGGTAGAGTTTCCTTCAGTTGCAGAGGAGTAGGCTGATACCAGGAGTCTGCAGTCCATATAGCCTGCTCCCCATCTTTCCTCATGAGATCTCCCTTCTGGACTGTCACCTGCACCTTCCTCGTGAGATGTCACATTTCAGTTGAGTAAGCAATTTGCTTATAGCTCTAAATAGAGGTGTCTAAACACCAAGATTAGGGGCTTGTGATTGATTTATTCACCTCGCCCCATCAAGATGTATATTGGGGTAGATCAAATGTAGAGAGTCTTGATACCCCAGAAAAGTGAAAGTTCTTAGCAAAAACTTGAAGGAGAGAAATGTCTTTCATATGTGTGAATAACTTAGCATGATTGGCAGAGAAAGGAGAATTGATTGGTTGCTGTATTTAAATACAAACAGAGTTACTCACTGAGAAAGGGAGAAAACCAAACAAAATATTACAGGAAGATATATAGGAGGTGATAGGGAGATGATTTGGGGCAGCCAGCACGGCTTCACCAAGGGCGAGTCCTGCTGGACCAACCGAGTGGCCTTATGTGATGAAGTGACTACATCAGTGGACAAGGGAAGGGTTACAGATGTCATTTATCTGGATTCCCGTAAAGCCTTTGACATGGTCCCCCACAACCTCCTTCTCTCTAAATTGGAGAGACGGATTTGGTGAATGGACTGTCAGATGGATGAGAAAGTGGTTGGACGGTCGCATCCAGAGGGTTGTGTTCGATGGCTCAGAGTTCCAGTGGACACCAGCGACAAGTGGTGTCCCTCAGTGTTCTGTATGGGGACCACTGTTATTGTATATTGTCACTTATGGTGAATATGAAGGGATTGAGGGCACCCTCAGCAAATTTGCTCATGACACTAAGCTGAGTCATTTATTTGACACACTTGAAGGATGGGCTGCCACCCAGAGGGATCTGGTCAAGCTCAAGAAGAGGGCCCAAGGGGACCTCATGATGTGTAATAAGACCAAGTGCAAGATGACCTGAGTCATGGCAAACCCTGGTATCGATCCAGGCTGGGGGATGAACAGATCAAGGGCAGACCTGCTGAGAAGGACTTGAAGATGCTGGTGGGTGAGAGGCTGGACATGAGCTGCAATGTGCACTCACAGCCCAGAAACCAATGTGTCCTGGGCTGCATCAAAAGCAATGTGGGTAGCAGGTTGAAGGAGGCGGTTCTGACCCCCTACTCTGCTCTGGTGAGACCCCACCTGGAGTCCACCTCTGGTGTCCACAAGAAGGACATGAACCTCTTGGAGTGAGTCCAGAGGAGGGTCACTAAGTCGATCAGAGGGATGGAGCACCTTTCCTATGAGGAAAGGCTGAGAGAATTGGATTTGTTCAGCCTGCAAAAGAGAAGGTTTCAGGGTGACCTAATTACGTCCTTCCAGTAGGCTCCTGAAGGGAGCCTGCAAGAAAGGCAGAGAACTTTTTACAAGAGCGTGTGCTGACAGGGCAAGGCAGAATGGATTCAAATTGACAGAAAGTTTAGATTAGATGTTAGTAAGAAATTCGTTACTATAAGGGTGGTGAGGCACTGGAACAGGTTGGCCAGAGAAGTTGTGACATCCCGTTCCTGGAGATGTTCAAGGCCAGGCTGAATGAGCAACGTGATGAAAGGTGTCCCTGCCCATGGCAAGGGAATTGGAACTAGGTGATCTTTAAGGTCCCTTCTAACCCAAACCATTCTATGATTCTATGAATAGTTATAAGCTGGTCATGATAAAAATAACTAAATTACAAAGTCCTTAATGTCTTGCTAAAGCTTCCTAGAAAGTAAAAGCTGGAAATACAGGAATTTGTAGGAAATACAAGAAGATGGAATTTTTCACTGAAAATACAGGAAACAAAAGTCAAACAATAAGAAGTTCCTAAGACAAGGATCAATAGTTTTATGAGGGTAATTTTGTGACATGGGCATCTGATGTGACCAAATAACTCAGGAAATCCATTTCTGTTCAAGATGCTTCAGTTCCTCTGTGCTCCATGCTGCAAGGTTGAATGAGTTAACCTCCACCCTGGATCTAGCAGTGAAGAAACAATTTTCCAAGGCAGTGTAAAGTCCTAGAACTGGAAATAAGGATTTAGAGTTAGAAGGGAGCTGGTAGATATAAACAATGATATTCCCAGAGGAGAATTGTGGGCTTTAATTCTTCGTGGATGAAGCAAAATTGTATTTGACAATAAGATCCCCCAAAACTGAAGACTATTTAGCTGAAGACTTCTAAGGGACTTCAGTTTGTATCTGAGGTTTCTTTAAAAAAAAGGTCTGTGAAAAGCTTCTTGAAGCACCCCAAGACGTGTGGTATTTAATTCTCTATGACATTTATGAACACACTTTCAAGACTTCAAGCACATGCCTTTCTTCAAGGCACGTAGACAAGACTTTGCAGCATGAGAATGTTCCAAACACTAAGTAATCATGACTAGAAAACTATAAAATTGAAATTATCGTGTTGAAGGAAAGAGACTAAATTGATATGCGTTTACTCACTAGAAATCAGGCACTGAAAGACTTTCTTGTATTGTTTGGTACTCTTTTTTTCCTGTTAATCTTCTGAATTGACTAAAGTAAACTCTTAGAAGTGAAGAACTCTTAGTGAAATTTAACTAGCACATGGCTTGGAAGTTGTCATAGGATGTAAGCAGCAAAACTGCTTACATTCAAATCATGAAAGAGAAGATATTAAATTTTCAACTTCTTGGAATTACTATATTTTTTCCTAATTTACAACAAGCTGGTGCTGATGCCACCAAGAATTCTGAGTTCCGAATTTAAAACAAAAAATGAAATCTAGTGTTTCTGCTTCATCTTTATCACCAATAAAGCCCTGATTTCAGGAAAATTGCTCTATGAAAATGAAATCTTCACAGTCATTTCAAAATTAATGCAGAAGAACTTTTCTATTACATATAATATATGGAAATCATATGCATTGGCAATGTAATAGAAGAGCAAGTGAGATAATTTTTAAGATGTTCTGCAGACATAAATTTTAAAAAGTCTGGGAAAAAAAGGAAGGGACAATCACATCAAAATTCAGTTAAAGTATATTTTCTCTCAGACTTTGAATGAAACACAATTGATTGTTTTGTTTGTTATTATTATTATTATTATTATTATTATTATTATTATTATTATTATTATTATTATTATTTAGACAATACTCAAGTCATCATTGAACATTGGGCAAGAGAATAGGAGCAGATGAAATGTAATTTAATGTTGTACTCAAGAGGGTCCTTAAAGGACTAGAAAGATACTGAAAATTCTGTAAAAAATCAATAACTTAAAAGTAGAGACTGGAAATATTGTAACATATACCTTCATACACACAAAAATGATGTTGAAATGATAGAGGAATCTATTATGTCTTTTTATAGCATTAAGGTCAGAATATTAAAGAGATAATGCTTAAGAGCACTGTCTTACTGATTAAATTAGATCAAGAAGAATGACAGATGTAAGAATACAATTGCAAGAAAGCAATCGATGTGTCCAAACCCGTAGGCAAACCTGAAAAAAAAAAGTTAATCAACTTTATTAAAAAAAAAAGAGGATTAGAAAGAAAAATGGGAAGGGATTCATATAATGATGGCACATATTATTAAGAAAAAAGCATTGTTTCTTTGCATATCAGTGCCAAGAATGTAAGTCATGTGGGCTTGTATCCTAAGGATATCTCAAATTAATTAAATGAAGAAAGCAATGTGGTATAACTTCTGCATCTGACTGAGGCTGAAGGAAATAATGTAAATGTTGTTCTTATACACAAATACAAAGAATATCTGTTCTAAAGAACAACACAAATAACTACAACATCACCACCCCAGCCCCTCAGTTATGAAGCATGTGAATTCATCCTTGGCCTACTTGTGTTCTGAAACCTCCTAAGCTTAGAAGACTCTCAGATTTAAAATCTTCAGAGCTTTAGCATAAGGAAAACATTTATGTGGTTCATAAAAAAGGTATGTGATAGATAAGAAGTATTTATCACGTGGACTAAAGACAACAACAAAAAGTACTCTGAAGTATATTACTCTTAGACAGGGGGATGTTTGAAAATGAGAAAAAGAATTTAGAAACCCAAGAAGTAATGATTTTTGTTCCTGTGCAAAACAGTTTTTGTTTGAAAAATCACTTTTACGAAAGGAAATTATTATCTACTTAGTACAAATTAGCAGGGATGGAGTAAGATTTATGTTTTTCCACAAAATGAGTGTCAAAACGCTTTTGATTAAGGGTTCTAGAAAACATTAATGTTAAATCTCAATTGCGCTTACATTTTATTCCGTGAATTGTTCTCCCCCTGTGCTGATAAATTTTAGTTTACTAACTAAGAAAAAATATTAATGAGAATAGGAATATCGATATTCTTTTACTTGGATTCTCGGAGTCTCAACCAGTTTCAGAAATTTTTAACCAACTAGGATAAGCAAAAATAATGGTTTTCTTGAAAGATGAATCTCGAGGAACGCCCTGTAGATATGTAGTTTCCTGTGATTCTAAATCAAGTTCTCTGGTTTGGTTTTTCAAACCTATTTAAAGAATAACTAGCAATGAGAAACCACAGAATGCAAATAAGATGTTTAATTTGCACCCCTAATCTAGATGTTCTTTTAACAGTTGAAAAAACAACAAAGCATTCCTTTGGTAAATCTGCCAAATATTTTAAATTGTGTGAAATTTCATATTTATACTTTTGTTGCTTTCCTGATTGTTTCTCCATCTGTTTTCTGTGGTTCTACTGGATTTCAATGACAACTGAATAAAACCATGAAAACCTGTGAAATAATTTTTTTTCCACAGCTGGCATTTGGAGAATTTCAAAGTGCAATGTGATTATCCAATAGGTTTCACATTATTATTCTCATACATGATTTCTCAGAGTCCCAGTCTGTTCTCAAATATCTTACTTACCCATGTTTCTTGAAGAGTTTTGTAGAAATTAGTCTTCTGGTGGAACTTCCAAAACTGCCTTTGAATGCCTAATTTAAAATGAGAGGCAGCTATTCTAGGAAAAGAAAAATACTTGAAACTTTATATCTCCTGAGGACACAATATTTAGGGCATACCTGAGTATTTAGCAAGCTTGATTTTTGAGAAATACCTAGTCATTATTTTTTGTGATGAGTAATTATATTTTGTATTAAAAGAAACAAAACAAAACCAACAACCAAAAACAAACAAACCAAAAACAAGCCAAAAACCAAACCACTAGGTAATTTATTTATGTATTTAAGAATGTATTTAAGATGTGTTTGCCACTGAATAATGAAATTTAAATTGCCTGTAGTGATGCAATTTAGAATAAATTTGATTCTCCTACCACAGTGTTGGTCCAAACTCTACCTGATGGGTGCCTTCATGACCAAATTCTGCCTGTAGTGGCTGCTGAAATTTGGGGAGGGAGGGCCAGAGGACTAATATTCAACCACTCTGTAGCAACAGAATCATAGGTGGTAGGAGGAGAAGGAAGGGAAATCAAAGAAAATGAAACTGCAAAACTTCTGTCGCATATGAAAACACCAGGAAGACTGATCATATCATTATGGAGAGTAGTAATGGCATAGTGGGACAGGGATTCCAAGAAAAAAAATAGAAAAGCAAATTATGATGCTCTCTCACATTGTGTGAAACTCCTCTGTAAAATCACTACAGAAGCAAGTTTAATAATTGTTGTTATTTAAAGAAGCTCATTAGCACCTTTGTAAAGTGCAACATGGCCAGCACTGTAGCTTTGCAGGCAGGAGAGCTACCATAGGGAAAAACAGTCTTGTTCGTTGCAAAGTTAATATTCCAAAAGTTCTCTAAGTAGTTTGAACCGAATTCAACATTATGTAACTTATATTTTCAATTGAAAATGAGGAGTTAGAGGTGATAGGGATTTATATTGCTCATAAGGGATTTATCATCCAAATAAACTAAAGGTTATGAGGCTTTTGAAAGCATATAGTCAAAGTTCATGTGGGTAACTCTGTGAGAATAAGAGCCAGTGGTCTCTGAGAGAGTCTTACACTTCAGCAAAATACTTTTTTTTGCTCAGTTACCAATCTGCAAGATATACTGTCACTGTACCCAGCCTACTATCAAATTAAATGAACAAGGGGTTTAAATTTCAGTATTATGGTCTCTTTTTCAAAGCACAATTAATTATTTGGGTTTTTTTCATACCAACATGAATTAAAAACTAAGAAATTGTTCACAAAATTTGAAAAATATCCAACTATGTAATTCTTAGGAATTTTACTTCCGTATATTATTACTTATGCTGTTTTATTAAACAGATTATTTTTACTAAAACATTTCTTCTAGGATTAAGAAAGGAGAGAAGGCCTGTGAATCACTCCTTCAGTGAGCAATTTTATTCACCATATACAGTTGAAATTTAATTTTATCTTGCAGCTTGGGAGATCTCTGTCAAGAAACATTTGATTAGCCAGTTATTGCACAAATACAAACAAAATGTAGCCTCTGCTATCTTACTGCACAAATTAAATCACAGGATTACCATTAATCAGTTGAAAAAGAGCACTTTGAATATCAAACTTCTGTTCTTTGCAACCGAGTTTATCTGAAAAGTCATGTAAGGTAAGGTTTTCATGGTTTTTTTTTACTCACATTCCTGAACTCCTCTTAGCTCTGTAGCTTTTCTCTAGTAAATTTTTGTTAAATGTTTCTTTATGGCAGAGATTATATGTTTGTAGAGGAGTTAATATAACAGAATCCTACTCTTAATAGAGCCTAGCTAGGTATTGGTGGTTGTCAAGATGGATGTAGTTTTAATATTTTATTTCACAAGCACAACGAGAATTTACATTGTCTTGGAATTAATGGCCACAAGTGCTAGAAACTGAAAGGATGCACCATAGAATAAGAAGTTTTATATATAAGTATTAAAAAAAAAAGCAAAAAACCACAAACAAACAAAAAACAATCCCAAGCTGTTCTAACATGGTCTCACAATCTCCTCTGTGAAATTAAAAGGGAATGAAATGACTGAATGAAGGGAATGAAATGACTGCAAAGAGAACTCTCAAGGAAAGCAAAAGTGTTATTAAACTTATGCTGTTCATGGTACTGTATGTTGTACCGATAAAGTTTGTGGGTTTTTTCAGTGTAAGCACCTTGGGCAAAGAAAACTAGCCTATGAGTCTACCAAATAAGAAGTGCCAATCAATGCAAATTAAATTGTAGCTCTTTTTAATTTTCAAGTATCTGGGTTATTTACGTCCATGGTTAATAACAGGAAGGAGGAGGGATGCCCTGTCTCAGCACAGTATGGAAATCTGTTCCTTGGCCATTACATCTGAGTTAGTCAAGACCAATTAACTAATAGAATGCACTGCATATTTCTTGATTAGATGATCCCAAGCGTGATACTAAAATTCCAATATGTGCATTGTTGTATCTACCTCTTGTATTGATTATTTTATAGCTACTTAGAGTTCTGTTTAAAACAAAAGTAAGTACATAAAATGCACAAAGTCAGAGAAGAGTTAGATAAAAACTTGTTTTTCATTAAATATTCCTTAAAAGGGGGGAAATTATTTTGCCTCAACAGAATAAGGCAAGAAATGTGAAATAAGGATGAGCGATGCAATGCTTGGACCTTATCAGTGAACTACTCTTATATTTCATTCATAGATTCATAGAATCACAGAATACTCTGAGTTGGAAGGGACCTACAAGGATCGAGTCCAGTTCCTGGCCCTACACAGGACACCCCTAGAATCACACCATGTGCCTGAGGGCATTGTCCAAGTGCTCTTGAACTCTGTCAGGCTTGGAGCTGTGACCACTGTCCTGGGGAGCCTGTTCTAGTGCTCAACCACTTTCTGGGAGAAGAACCTTTTTCTAATCTCCAACCTAAACCTCCCCTGACAAAACTTCAGCCCATTCCCTCAAGTCCTGTCCCTGGTCACCACAGAGCAGAGATCAGTGCCTGCCCCTCCTCTACCCCTCCCAAGGAAGTTGTAACTGCAGTGAGGTCTCTCCTCAGTCTCCTCCAGACAATACACCAAATGGCCTCAGCCATTCCTCATACAGCTTCCTCCAAGGCTCCTCCCCATCTCTGGTGCCCTCCTTTGGACACTCTCTAAGAGCTTAATGTCTTTTTTATATTGTGGTGCCCAAAACTGCACACAGGACTCAAGGTACTCTAATGTATTATAGGAGGCACGTTAAAAAGTCAGAGTTCATTATATCAGAATGTAACTTTGTAAGTAACTAGGGGATGGGAGAGTATTTTTGGACTGAAATATGAGTTTTTTAACATTTTTAAACCATATTTGTAAATAGTAATAGTGGAACCCTTAAGGAAGATGCAGTATTACCCGTCAACTACTTAAGCATTTCTTCTACTCTTTGTCACTATTTTTGTAAAAGAAATACAGAAATTAGTTTTTCAATAACCCAAAGATTTATACACTGTGATTTTACTTAAGAAGTGATGTATTTTGCAAATATTAGATCTAGCTATCAAAAACCTTCTGTAATCTTTTGAATCTTCTCCCAAACCTAAGGATCTCTGCATCATCATCATCTTTATCCTTCGGCTAATGTATTCTTTGAAACACTGCTTTGCTTAAAGTGTTTCTTAAAAACATTGATGAAAGTAGTTTTGCTCAACTAAAACATTGAGCAAAAGCATACTATAATATTATATTCTGCCACAGGTACCATTTTAAACTGTTACTATGTTGACAGGTCACATACTAGGTTATAGTTACCAAATAAAGAAGTACCTCACTGCATTTTTCCTGGATTAATTCGAAAAACTTTTTTCCAAAGAACAGAAATGTTAGATGTATTTTAAAACACAGCTAAGAACTTTCATTGAGAAAAAGTAGAGCAAAAAATGCTGATGCCTTCTTTTTCTTATGAGAAAACAAAAAGAGCAAGTGATTACTAACAAAACTGTACTTCTATTAGAGGTAATAGCGATTTAAACCCACTTTTGAATACTGTGTACATAGAAACTTGAAAACTTAAAATTTAGCTGATGATTAGTATAGAAGCTCTTTTGCAATCATAGTTCCCACCATAAAAATAGCACCCTGTACAGAAATTATTAGGTTACTTTTTTTTCAGGGCTTAAAAATCTAAGAACTGTCTTTAAAAAAATAGCACAAAATCAAAACAAATGAAAAAAACCTCCAACCCTCTATAGGGGATGTGACAATGTGAGAACTGCTGTTGTTTATTTCTGCTAAGGAAAGAAATTATCTTGTCTTCTGCAACAACCAATCTGGATAAAGTGTTCAAGTGATGAGAATGTAATTTTGATATTGCTGAAAAGCACTCTCTGAATCAGAGGTGTTCAGATAACAAATTAGTTTCACTGCAGTTTTCGATGTCCTTGTTGAAAGCAAACCTTTCCAATATTTCTGCATTCAGTGTGGATGGAGTCTTTTTATGTTTGTTTTTTTTTTTCCCCTCACTGCAGTGGATCCCTCTATGTTGTTCCTCAGCCTCCACACAGACTTGCAGAGCAGCACAGAACCCTGCTCTGCTTTCTCTCTCTGCATCCTAGGAGGTGGCTCTGCTCTCTCTCTCTGTTTCAACATGATGCTGTGATTTTCCCCTCCACACTGTGTGTCTCCAAGTCTCTGGTTTCATTCCATGTAGTTAAACCCCAGTCACTCTCACAGAAAGGCACTGGTCTCGTCCAGTGGTTTGTGATTGACATCCAGTGTTACCCCTTGAAGATGGTCTGTGTCAGTCTATCTAATGGTGGGTCATCTACTGCTTAAATGCAGGCTTGGTATCAGGCTGGAATGTAACACATATCAGCTTCTGAAATCTTGGGCTTTTCCTAGAATTTCCAAGGTTTACTTTTGTTGAAAATACTATGACCTTCTCTACTCTCAAAGTTATCTTGTGTTCTTGTAGCAAAAAAAAAAAAGCTAAATATGATAGTTTTGAGCAACCTTGATAAAATTCTTAGGGACTGGTAGAAGATAAAAGATTTAAGAACTTTTAAGTTCTCTTGATTTCTGTAACCAAGATAAAACAAGATTTGAAGAATCAGAAGACTCATAGAATAGAAACCTCTTGAGACAAACTTATGCTCAGAGCTTTTTTTACCACTTACCCTTTAGGAAGTTCTTCCTACATAGTATTTCAGTGTTGAAATATTAAGATTTCGACCTTACAGACTACAAGAAATTTGACTGGTATAATTGAATTTTTATGAAGTCTCTTATATATTCACAAAATCCTAATGCTGCAGACATTGAGGGAATAGAAGTAACTGTGTATGGCTGTAGGAGGAGAAATATTTATCAGCTTTTTACTACATAGTGTGCTTTTTTGTGTGTCTGATACTACTGGAACCAGTCCTGAGTGATAATTCCATTGCTACGCTCAAGACAGCAATTCATTACAGCAGACTGACAAATATGAAACTAATGCAGAAAGTATGCTTGACATTTAGGCAAAAATTCCATCTCTACTCTGTGTAAAAATATAAATATAATGAAAATCCCATTACTCTTTACGGAAACTTGTTTTCTAGATTATGCATGTAATACTGAAATGATGGAAGAAAAAAACCTGAGATTGAATATTGCTTAAAAATGAAGAGTGTATTATTTAGTGGTCACAAATGCCTTATTTTTTCTATCTTTCTCTCATATAAGGAAAAATCTAAAAAAACATTCTTTAAAAAAACCAAAACTGGTTACCTTGTTAATAGAAATAAGGAAGTCTTTCTGTGCCTTAGCTGAGTCATTCATTATCAGAGAAACAATTAGTTTAATTTTTGTTATCTTAGGTATCATCTTCATAACATCAGAATAAAAGGAGTGTGAAACTGCTTAAAAAGTATTTCAGAATATCTCATATAATGCTATGGTTTCAAATGAGAGATAAATTCACTGTTGTGTGCTGGACTAGCTTTAAAAAGTGCACTTCTAGTGATAGATTCTTAGGTTCAGATCTACATATCTTTGAATGATTTGATGTTCAAGACATGTTCAAGCACTGATTTGCATTGATTTCTAAAGGCGAAATATTAACTCGAGTGAAAGCTGCTTTGTATTCAACTGCTGTGTAATTAAGCAAATCTATGCATACATTATCATAGAGAAACTTCCCTAGTTTCAATTTTTTCATGTACAATTTTTTAGATGTATCTAATTTATACATGAGCATAAAGGTGTGTAAATTTATATGCATATAAAATCTATAAAATTATAAATCTGAAAACCAAGTATAGATTTAGGAGACTAAGTTGAGCATCTTTTTAAATTATAGTCTGTGCTTTCAAGATTAAAAATAACTTTGATGTGGGGGATGTAAAGCAAAAGAAGTCTGTAATGTGTTATTTTTTTCATTGAAGTGAACAGAGAGAGGAAAGTGTTTATGTGAAGAACTTATTTTTAAAACACAATCTTGCCCCTGTGTTATAGGAGTACCTTTGACATCCATCCTCTAGATCTGAGGTCTAGAAGAACTTCATTGCATTGTTGTGGAGGCATTGAAAAATAATGACATTTAATAAGTTTGAATAATGGACAGTAAATAATGTTTTTTTATTCTCCCTTGTATTGGTCAAATAAAAGTGGAGTAATTTATGCCTTACTCCCTTGTTAAGCTCTTTCTGCTGCACTTCATCTACCTCAAATCAACCTTCACTCAAAAAAAGAGAGTGTAATTTAACGTGAAAAAAATGGTACCTGCATCAGGCTGGTTGTATGTTCATCCTTGCTTAATTCCTTATTTTATATTTATGAGAGGGTGCAAAAAAAGTAGATATTTATTGTTTAGCAGAAGTACATTCCCTCCCCTTGCCCCAGTAATTCAATATAATTCTGATTAACCCAATATCCTGAGGAACTTGACGCTCTAAGGGTCACATAGAGAGCATGGTGGATTGTTTAAAGGGGAAAAAAAACCCAACCTAGATCAAACAGTAGCACATTAATCATGATAGACACTTACAGAACGTGTTCCTAAGAGATACAATTGATTTTGCTGAGAGCGAGATCTTATTGCTTGTATCACTGTCATTACGGAGGGAATTCAACTAATTCTGCTAGAATGAAGCATCAGTTTATAAAATAATTATTATTGAGGAATAGCATTAAGATACAACACTTCTTCGGGGCTTGCTTCAAAGAGGTTAAATGAGAAAGATTTACATTACATGCATAAAGAGCATGGATGTGAAACAAAGCCATGAAGGAAAGAATGATTTTTTCTTCTCTCTGGTGAATAAGTGTGTTAATTAAATATAATATTTAGGAGGCATAATTATGTTAAATATGTGTTATATACCACGATGCAAAGTGACTAAGACGGAATCTGGCTTTAGGAAAGACAAGCTTGATTTGCATCTACTGCTGAAAGATTGGGTAATTCTTTATGGGAACACTGTGTAACAGTAACAGTCAGGTGATGGTTTACAGGTAGCCTGGGTAAAGAAGGCAAAAAGCTTACCATGTTCACAGTGAAGTCAAGAAAAGAAAATAAATTCACTTTTTGAACCCAGAAGGTCACTTTCTGCACCATTGTCCTTTTTTGAAGAGAGAAGAGAACAGAGGATTGTTACTCCCTCTTCAGATGATAAGTTTGGTGGGTTATGAATATATAGGAAGGGAGAAGGGAAGGCTAAATTACATTACTACACAGTTGCTGTTCTTAGTCGTCTTCCTCTTTTGTTTAGGCAAGTTAGACAATAAATATAAAGTAGTTCCCTGAACCAGAGCTAAAAAGTGATAAAAAGCAGCAAAAAAGGGTACACCTCCCCCTGCACCAGCACAATTTGTTGGGTGGTTTTTTGTTTGTTGTTTTTTAATTTTATTTTATTTTATTTTATTTTTTAAACAAGCTATGATTTTCCTTTGCTTTTTGAGTTAAGAAAAAGTCTTTTTCTAAGACTCAAACTTTTGTGTCACTTTCTGAGTAGTTTATTGTCATTGTTCTTCCCTTCCTCGATGGTAATCCCCTGCGCTACCTGGTGAATAGATGCAGGTAATCTTAACACGGAAGTCTCAAAGAACAGTGAAATGAAGAAAAGGAAAGGAAAAGAAAGAATATTTTTTCCTGATTTTTAATTATCCAAAGAACTTGAACCTGGGAATTGTTTTATGTAGTTCTTTATTTTTCTAATCTTTACAATTACTCCTTATTAAAAACAAAGGACTATTTAACTGCTATCAAATTGTCTTTCAATTATATTCCATCCAAAAGGCTACAAACATAACTTTGAAGAAGCAGACGTGACCTATAAATCAATCACTGAAAAAATTCCTATAGCCTTGTGGTGCTTGCAAGCCTCTTTCTCTGACAGCTGGTCTACTCTGAAACTCATTGGAAAAGCAAAGTGTATGGAAAAGGATGCTGAATTGCATAGAACGGCTGTCAAAAGAAAAGTCTAGCAATACGTAGGAAGCAGAGTATATTCCAGAGACACTCCTTTCTATTACTGGGAGAACAAAAAAGAAAATCAAGGCTCACATCTATATCTTCCTTTTTTTTTTTTTCAGTCTTCAAAACTTGACATATGTGTATGTGAGAACTTGCCTGCTTTTTCTTATTCCAGATTTTCTTACATACAGGTATCATGAAAAGGCTTGAACTTTAAGACTACCACAAATTTTAGGCAAATATGTCTTGCTTAAGGAAAGATTCTGGAAGCTTGCCTAGGAAGTGTAACTACTGAGTCATGTTTGAAGGTCAGCTCTGAATTTATCATGTCCCTTTCAGACTTTCTTAGTGCTGCAGGTACGGTTGCATAAACAGACTAATATGTAATGGAATTACAGGGAGGGAGACTGTCTGTTGCATAATGATTTAGAAAATGTCTTAGATGTGCTGGTTATAGATCTTGCTGTTGAAATACTGTTTTGAGAAGGCAAAGGTCAACCTGAAACTGAAGAGAAGAAAACATTAAGTCAAATCAGGTGGATAGTATATTCTGCTAAAGTGGATAAACAAGTCCGTAAAATGTTTGCTGGGGTACAGAACCTACAGTACAGAAAGGAAGTTTACAAATCAGAAATCATTTGGAAGGTGGGGGGGAAAGGTCATCAGAATGATTCAAGCATCAAAAATTCTGGTGGTACACGTCAAAGAGTTTGTCTTTTGCTCTATTTCATCTGTCCAAAGTTATTTTGGGAGATAATCTGATTATGATATATTAACACAAGTGTGAGGGGAAAAACTTTTTGAGGACAGGTAGTTCTTTAATCTGAAGAAAAAGTCACAGCAAAATTAAGTGAATGACAACCAATGGTTCTCTGGTTAAACTAGAAGTACTATTACAGGGTTTTTCCAGTGATGGTAATAAATCACAAAGCGAATTCCCTACCCAGCAGAATATTAAATCTGGAAAGTGTATCTTTGTAGAGGTTGTGTTCTGAGTTCAATCAAAAATTCGAAGAACTGTTTATTTGACATGCACTACACGAAGCTCAAAATTGATTTTAATAGTCCCAATGAGGCTTAAGACACACAAATCTTTATATGAAATAGAAACCACGATTCTGTGCCTATCTACAGTTCATGCAATGGTATGGAGATGAATTAAGGTCAATTATGAAGATAAAATTTAGTACAAGTACAACTTAAAGGCACGATGCATTAATCAATAGGTCGATACTATCTG